AGCGACTGTGATAGTATGAGTACTTCTGTCAGCAATGTGATAGTATGAGTACTTCTGTCAGAAATCGGATGAGTACTCTGTCAGCGATGTGATAGTATGAGTACTTCTGTCAGCAATGTGATAGTATGAGTACTTCGGTCAGCAATGTGATAGTATGAGTACTTCTGTCAGCGATGTGATAGTATGAGTACTTCTGTCAGCAATGTGATAGTATGAGTACTTTTGTCAGAAATCGGATGAGTACTCTGTCAGCGATGTGATAGTATGAGTACTCTGTCAGCGATGTGATAGTATAAATACTTCTGTCAGCGATATAATACGACAAGTACTTCCGTCAGCGACACGACACTTATAAGATGCTGTCTGCGATGAGGTCTTTCAACAATATTCCGTCAACAACGCGGTCCTTACAATGTCAGTTTTTTTTTTTCACAAAACCCGCCTGCCAATATGTTTCTTTTAAAACACTCCTGTGAACGATGTCTCCCTCGTACAGATTCTCTGCGCAGAGGGCCTGCGAATTTCGCCCACCAGACCCGGTGCACCAGGCGCACGTAATTTCGGCACTTGTTGCCCACGCCAGCCCGCCTGTGCAGGCCCAACCTAGAGCCAGCTTCGGCAGGCTCTTTCGGGGCCTCTTCCTCCCCACACCAAAAAACACAATAGCCATGTCGCTAGATCCACAGGCCCTCCAGAAACTCCTCATAGAGATGGACAACCAGCTCAACCAGTCACGTGCCGAGTTGTCCATGTGCACCGTGCAGTTGGATCGTGTCGACACCAACTTGCGAATCGTGGACACCACCTGCTCTCGCTTGGCCAAACTCACGTCGCCCGGGGACTCGGTGTGGAGAGGCGTGGGGCGTGCGTTTGTCGAAAACGACGTGTCGGACTATGTGGGCCGGATCCAGAAGGACAAGGCGGATTTCTTGGAGACGCAGAAGCTGTTGAATACCAAGAAGCACTACTTGGAGACCACCTTGGAAAACACCGTGAAGCACATGACGGACATTGTGGGGAAGAAGTGATGAAGTTGGGGTGGCGTTGGGCGGCCACGCCGGTGGGGCTTGCTGGCGAGTTTTGGTTTGCTGGCGAGTTTTGGTTTGCTGGTGACTTATGCTTTGCTGGTGAGTCTTGTCTTTGCTGGTGCTTTTTAGTGGGTGAGTAAAATGTACGCTTTGCGGCCGTGGCTACGGGCCCAGGCCTACAGGAGCAAGGCTTCCCGGGTCTGGAATACGGCACAACACTCGGGCACACGTGCCCTACTCCGGTAAATTCTTCTTCTTCATAATTCTCGTTATCATATACAATAAACACCGCGAGCCCCTTAGTCGCTGTCTTCGTCGACGCCCTCGTCCAAAAGCCGCCTCTCAACATCGGCTTCCGCGTCGTCGAGTTTCCGCTTGTTCCGCATTTTCGACGTCAAGAACTCGTTGAGCTGGTCCTGGACCGTGGTGAGCCGCGCCCGCAAGCCGCCCAAGTCCGTGTCCCTGGCCGCGCTGGGCTTGTCTCTGTCGGTTCCGCCGGCGCCAATGACAATATCCGAGATTCTCGTGGTTTTCCCGTCGGTGGAGTGCGGGCCTTCGCCTGGCACAAACCGCACGGCCTCGAGCTCCAGGGGCGACTCGTAGGTGGCGGACGGGACTAGAGAAGGCATTTTTTTTGGTATGTGAATATTTGACAAAGGGGCCGCCTGCAATCCGGGTGTGTGCGGGCCTGTTTTCTTGCTGGTGCCGGGGCCGAAGCTGTGGGGCGACAGTGGCCGATGGGTGCGCGCGCTGCGGAACAGAGGGCCCGGCCGGGCCACCCTACATCTGCCGGCTCGAGCCGCACACCGCAACACAGGGAAAATCCAGTATCCCCGTGGCGCCGTAGACTCACATCAGCAACAACGTGCGGGGCGAGGCCCCGCGAAAAGCCGGCCCCCGGGGGCGGGCGCGGCCTAGCGCGCGGAAAAGTCCTCGATCGGGATTCTACGCGCGGTGTTGGCGTACGCGTTGAACTTGACCTCGATGATGTCGTCCATGGAGAACTCCAACCACGGGATGTCGTAGCAGGAGAACGCCATGAGGTAGCCGTGCAAGACACGCAAGACCGTCTCGTCCGCGATGATCAAGATGTCGCCGCTCATCCGCTCCATCTCGAGGATCAACGGCTCGATCTTGATGGCCAAGTCGTGGTACAGCTCCGCGCGCGAAAAGCGGTGGTGGTACGAGTCCTTGAGGTACAGCGCGTACTCGGACGGGAACTTCTGCTGGATCTCGTCGTCGGACATGCCCGCCACCACGCCCGGGTTGCGCTGGGACAACTGGATGCGGTGCCTGACGTTGACGCCGGCGTCGCGGAACGGCTGCGTGGTCTGGATGGTTCTTTTCTTGACGGACGTCCAGACCACGAAGGAATCGTCGTCCACGCCGTCCGCGCCCGTGGGCGGGTGCTTCTGGTCCGTGGACAAGGCGGGTTTCATGGCGCTCAGCAGCGGCGCCGCGGCCGCGCGCGAGCCGTCGCCGAACGTGCGGCCCTTGGCCTCGAGAAGCTTGAGCACAGTGCCCGCAAGGTTGCGCGAGTACTGCACGCCGGCAGCGTCCAAGGGCGGGTCCTTCAGGTAGTCCCAGTCGTTCTTGTAGCAGCGCGCAAAGTACACGGAGCCCAGCTTGATGCGCGAGTTCATGAGGAAGAACACGACCTTGTTGATCAAGTAGCCGTAGTTGGAGTTGTTCAACTCGATGCGGCGGCCGAAGTTGATGAACTTGATGAAGGACAAGGCCGCGTCGGCGCCCGTGGCGCTCATTTCGCGGTAGTACGGCTCCAACAAGTGGATGCGGCGCGAGTAGTCCGCGTGCGCGGCCGCGTAGTCCCAGTTCTCATAGTCCGGCAGCAGGCGCGCCGCGGAGTCGATGTTCTTGTGCAAGATGCTGGCGTCAGTCACGGTCAGTTCGATGAAAATGCATTGGATGCCATCGGCCTTGAAGCGGTCCGCCAACTGGCGCCGGTACTCGGGCCGCGCGTTGACCGCGTCGTAGATAGCCACCTGGCCCTTGTCGTTCTCGAAGAAGTTCAAGATGTCGTTCAAGCAGTCGTCCACGGTCTGGTTCTCGAAGCGCGCGGCGCCCGTGTCGCCGGCCGGCGCCACAAACAACATGTGGTCCAAGTCCTCGTCGCGGCTCAGCGCGCGGCGGTAGTCGCAAAGGTGGAAGCTGTGGGTCTTGACGCCGAGCCAGCGCAAGTAGCGCGTCAACAGCACCAGGAGGTGGGTCTTGCCCCGCCCCGGCAACCCGGCAAGGGCAATGCAGATCTTGCCCGCGTGGAAGAGCCGCCCCGACTCCGTCAGGTAGAGCTGCGCGGGCGAAATGTGGTAGGGGTCGATTTCTTTGTGCACGCCGTCAATGCCCGTGACGTCGCTGAGGCGGCGGCGGCGGTTGGCGGCGGCCGGGCGGCCCACCAAGTTGGGTCTGGAGGAGTCGTGGAACGACCACCGTTTCTTCGTGCGCCGCCCAAGCAGCACGTGGCGCAGCAAGTGCTCGGAAACGGCGACAACATCGCGCTCGGACTCCGCGTCGGACTCCACGGCAGACATGGTGGCGACAGGGGGTGTGTGTGCTTTTTTCTGGGGGAGAAAAAGCGTGGTTGTGGGATTTGGTGGGGCTGGAGGCGCTGGGAGGTCAAGGAGGCACGGGCGCGGCGGCGGTGTGCAGGACCGGGGTCAGGGCGCCGGGCGGGTCGGGGAGGCCAATGACGAGGGGTTAAGTGGGGGTTGTTTTCGTGGTCCTGGCGATCTGGTGTGGCTCGGCGGAATCGGGTCTGTGTTTGCGGGCAGGCCGTGATTCCGGGTGGTTTGAGGTTTTGGGTGGTTTGAGGTTTTGGGTGGTTTGAGGTTTTGGGTGGTTTGAGATTTTGTGTGGTTTGCGGTTTTGTGGTTTGCGGTTTTGTGTGTTTTGCGGTTTTGTGTTTTGGTGTTTTGTGTTTTGGTTCTGTGTGGTTTGAGGTTTTGTGTGTATTGAGATTTAGTGTGGTTTGAAATTTTGTGTGTTTTGCGGTTTTGTGTGTTTTGCGGTTTTGTGTGTTTTGTGTGTTTCGAGGTTTGTGGTTTGTGGTTATGTGCGCTCTATTTGTCTGTGGGGGAGTTGATTGTTTGTGCGGTTTTTGGTGTTCTCTTGCCAAGGTCTGTGGTATTTTGTGGAGGATTGCGGTTTGTTTTCAGACCCGGTGGTTGGTGCGGAGGTGACTTGGGATGGTTGCGGCGGGCTCAGACCACGGGGCCAGCATTGGTGCGCATCTATTATATGAAGCATGACGAAAGAGTTGTGGAGAGAGGAACGGAAGGAAGGGGATAGTGGGAGGATGGCAGGGCGATAGGAACAGAATGCGAAGGAACCGGCAATATTGTGTGAAGGCAATTATAAAGGGGAGATCATAAAGAGATGATGAAGGGAGAACAGAGAGGGAGAACAGAGAGGGAGAATATGAAGGGAGAATATGAAGGGAGACATAGAGGGAGATCTTAAAGGGATCATAAAGGGAGACATAAAGGGAGATCATAAGAGATCATAAAAGGAGACAAAGGGAGAACATAAAGGAAGAGTATGAGGGGAGAATATGAAGGGAGATCATAGAGGGAGACTTGAAGGGAGATCATAAAGGAGATCATAAAGGAGATCATAAAGGAGATCATAAAGGAGATCATAAAGGAGATCATAAAGGAGATCATAAAGGGGATCATAAAGGAGATCATAAAGGATAATCATAAATGGAGAATATAAATGGAGAATATAAAGAAAGATCATAAAGAAAGATCAGAAAGAAAGATCAGAAAGAAAGATCAGAAAGAAAGATCAGAAAGGAAGTTCGTAAAGCAAGAACACATGGCGAAGGCAAGGGAGAGTAGGAACAGAGCCACTAGAATAATACGAAAAAGGCCGCGAGCAAGACACAAAGCATGGAGTAAGTTTCTGGTGGTTCTCTGCAACCAAGTGCACTAGTGTCCACTTGTTTTGTTCGTTCGCCCGCTCCTCCTATTTTCGTCGCTCCTAGACTATTTTTTCTCAAATGGCGCCTTGGTTTCTCTCCGCTTTTTCCAGAGTCCTCGTTGTCCTGGAATCAATAATTTCTTTGAAACCCGCAGATGGTCTATGGCGGCGGAGCATACGTCGCTTCCATTAACTACGAGTATCAGGCTTCCTTCCCGATCATGAAACCATAGATCTACCCCCATTTCTTCTTCGCCCAGCCAATGCAAAACAAACGCCCCAGGTGGAATCTTTAAGGAAATTTTGCTTCGAGCATACGTTATCCTAGTTTCGACGTGTGCAAGTGTTGGCGCAATGGGTGCAAAACCCTCGTTCCAGTTGCCATGGAGTCTGGCCATCTGAAAATCTCGATACCTTCTATTTTCGTATCAGTCATCTGTACGTTTCTTTCATTGATTTTCAGTTTCCAAATCTTTTCAGTTGTCGCCATCTGCCCAAAAAACCTCAAATATACCCACAACCATTACATTGTAGTTAATTTTACACAACGGTTTTTCAAAAAGCACTTTGACCAAATTTGTACACTCAAGTTTGTTTTTAAGCTCAGGATACCCTTCAGAATCCTCATAGAGTAGTCATGTCGTTATGGTATGTCGCTATAGTTGGGATGCGTCGATGGGGAATACACTCAACTATAATAATACTTACGTCAGTTACCCCATTACGTGCCCAGTTACGGCCAGAATATGCTATTATGTTTTCACGGAGTTCCTTTCTTGTCTACTGATATGCTGCTCTGAATAAAAAAGAATTCCACAGATATTGGCAATACTGAAATTGGAGGCACCATAAAAGACATCGGAAGGCTCTCCCAGGATTGAACATTTCAACCGTATACCCAAGAATAGTGGAAAGTTTTGCAAGTCTCGCAAGTATCTTCCTTCCGATTCTTGGTGATTGATGAATACTATCGCATGAGATACACTGAAACAATGAATGGCCCTGAGATTCCGCTTCGGAAGTCGAAGACCCAAAGTAGCATGTGCCCCATAATCTGCATACGTTTATCGTCTACCGTCATGTATTCCTCAATGCGGAAATCGGGTCCACTTATGTTTATCCATAACTGAGGTATCATCGGACTCGCCTTGTAGTTGAAGAAGGGAGGTGCATCTTTTACACTCTTGTGCCATCATTCTCATGCCTGCCTGAACTAAATCATGAAATGGGAATTTTACGAGTAAGCCTGGCCATTTATACTACGAAACAGAATCCTGACAATAAGTTGCGTCTTCAAACGTGCTTGAAACCCGTACTAAAGGCTGTTTTACCTTACTTTAGCACTTGAGTCACGCGAAGATTTTAGCTATCGGATCTGCCTTTCCCTGCTGATAACCTTTTGCTAGAGGCTCGATAATTTTCATGAACCAAGCATTTTTCGGAATAAAGCCACCTGCCACGGTTGGTCGTGCACAAAAGGGTCTTGGACTAGTAATCAAAATGAATCGTCTTCGTACCAACGACTTCTCAGTGGGGCGTACCTTAAATTCCAAAATATTTGAAACGTTAGTTTGCGAAACGAACTGCTTGAACAGTCCCTGGAACAAACCTACCAAGTTTTTTCCGGTCAGAAAGCACCCTTCTTACTCTCCAGCAAATGGGAACCACACTCAGGCGTCAAACGCTAGATGATCACAATGATCACACTCACTGGCTGCGCTTGCTTACACAAAATTCGTCGTTACAGATATGTATTATTTGGATTAACTTACACAGAGTGCGCTTACTCCACCTTGCCGCCCTTTCTCTCAATCAAAGCCTTTCTCTTGTCATCCAAGTACAACTTGGTGATGACAACCTTGGATGGGTGGATGTTGATTGGGATAGAGGCACCGGAAGACTTCTCGATTTGCAACTTCTCGATTTGCACGGAGAACTTCAATCTGTAGACGGTGGAGATCTTGCCCTCAGAACCCTTCTTGGAGCCTCTGACAACGGTGACCTCGTCCTCCTTTCTGATAGGAATGGACTTGATGTTGTATTGCTTTCTCAACTCCTTGGACAAAGGAGCAGACATCAACACTCTTCTCTCAGCAGAAGAGGAGCTGAAGTGAGCCTTTCTAGACTTAGAACGAGAAGAAGAAACGTCTGGAATAGTTAGTATTGTTGTTTTTGGAACTGGCGCAGAAATAGAAGAGACCCAGGCAATGGTATTTGGGAGTGTTGGCTTGGATAAACAAGGGGGAATATATGCTGATTTTGCGAATAGCCGAGATTTAATCGGGCTATCAAGTTTAATTGTTCTGGAAAAGCAGCATGGATTCATGTTGCTTGTCTCATGTTTTGTGTGTGGAGATCTTGGGGACGATCAGTTCTCATAGTTAAGATCTTGGTATATGGGCCTCACTGAAAACCAGTATTAACGAGAAAGAAACAGCAGATTCTAAGAGCTATCTCTGATAGCCGGGGTATATGTTTTCTCGTTTCTGCTTAGCGTTTTGACGCTCGTATGGGTGGCACATACCGTGACTGATCTTGGCCATTTTTGTTTACAGGTGTTGGGAATAGAATGGACGAGGATTTGAAAATGGCTGATGGAATGAGGTAGCCGAAAATTTTCTGGAGCTGGCGGTGTGCAGTCCGCACCGGGTGTTTGGGCGCGCGAGGGCACCAGCCCTAAAGACTAGAGTGTGTGCAGTACGCACATTGATCTCGCGTCGACATGTGTTGAGACGTGAGAATCGAGGCAATTGAGTGTATTTTTTGTAAGATAGGGTGATTCACAGAAGTGTCCGGAATAGATGTAAAAAAAGAAATTGGCATTGGAAGTTCTCAGCTGCTCAGTGCAGTGGTTGATTGGCAAAAAGAAACGTTGATAACCCACGGCGGGACTCGAACCCGCAATCGCTGCCTCCGGAAAGCAGTACCTTAACCAATTAGGCCACGCGGGCTTCTTCGTTATTGTTCTCCAATGTGAAAGAAACATATGGAGTCAAAAGAGACAAGTTGTAGGCTGTAGCTCAATTGAGAAGCTTTTCGAAAGCATTTACGAATCAAAATTAAAAGCACCATTGGTGGCAGTGCAATTAAAGAAGGTTCTAGCTCCCAAGCCCATGAACTTAATGTTGGCACCAGCCGACAACTCTTTGGAGAACTCAACAAAATTCAATAGGTTTGTCACCACGGGTTTTAAAGTATACACTCGAAGACGTGGTGCGTCACAGGAATTAAGCTCCTTAAGCCTTCTCCAAAATTAGCTGAACTTGGGGCTCCTTAAGTCCGCTACAACCATCTGAGTTGAAGCGACTACTACAGGCGACTTATCCTAGGAGTCGATGACGTAATATCCAATACGTAAACAGATACGGGTCATGAGGACCGTCCAGGCTGTGACTAACGGAAAAGGACGGACCGAGTTTAGACACTCGGTACGTAGCTGGGAGCTGTTTAAAGGTTTTTATATATATTATTTATATAGTTTTGTCCCTTTAATGAGATGAATCCTCCAAAAAAAAAAAAAACTATTGGATACTTATTTTAGGAATAGATGACGCGTCGTTCAACAATTAAGCAAAAAGATGCAAAATGGACCGTTCAGGCCGTGATTGACGAAAAAAGAAGACAAGCCAAAATTCGACACTACGTACATACGGAAGCTGTCTAGGCACTTTATGTATATTATTTGTAATTTTGCTCCTTTTATCAGATGCATATTCCGAAAAAGAGGAATCATGCTTCGGGAAGGACCTACAGCTAGGGCCTGGTGCCTGTTATTTTTAGTCGACACTGAGGGTCTCCCTATATTTTAGCCCCTGGTGATGAATGAAACTTTATGTTTTTCACACCTGCCAGTGGCGTCCTATAACATTGCATTCAATTTTAAAAAACAAAAAATCAGCAATCTTTGAAAACTGCATAAACGTTTAATTTCACCATTCCAATGTCTAACAATAAATGAAGAAAGAACAGGGATGACAAGCAATCTCATGTAGGTTGGGTTAGCTGGTAGGTCTGGAAGCCTTATAAGGCATGCATATGAAAATAAACATATGCGTTTCAAACTGGGCTGAGCTAATGGGATAAATATCAGCGGAAGGCTGAGCACATGAAGTGGGCTTGCAAAATTGTATTGACTTCAAGTTAAATGCTCCGAGCCAATCAAAATCTGATTTTTGTAATTGATTTCTTCTAGTAGATGCAAAGTCAAAATTTTGATTATTCTATTTTCTTTTATTCAACAAGTAGGGAAGATGAATTCCTAATACGCAGTATATCACAAAACTTTCCGCTTATTCTGTAGTACCTTCACTAAATAGATGGGTGCCATATTATGCACTACTCATTCGAAACTTTAGTATATGCAAGCGAATAATAACCATTTGACTAATCCTATACACCGTCTAAATACGGAGCTTTGCCGAAAGCTTCGAGTTGACATAAAGTGTAAAGAAAACATTGACGAGCTGGAAATTATGAAAGAAATCAATGATTGCAGGAATTACTGAAGAAGGAAGTGAACCAAATAAGCTGACCTCGACTCCTACAAAGGTTGTCATATGCTCATAACTAGAACAAGATTTTGAATATATAAAGGCACTTGGAAAGCAAACCATCAGCAAACACTAGCATACCTCAGAATGATCTTTATTGCAGTGTGTTTACTTCTTGCCCTGACTCTTGCTAGTGTTATGGAGGAGGGTTATATAGTTATTTTCGATCAGAGAGGAGATTTTAAAGGATATTTGACAACAAATCAGGACCAAACAGTTGGTTAAGGAGACACCTTGTACCATTATCTCCATGAGAACTCATATGTGCTTGATGTCAAAACCAAAAGGTACATGTGTGTTCAGAATGGAGAATTGATCATAAAGGCAGGCATCGAGGATGGTGTAAATCTTTTCAACGGTCAATTGATATTCAAGATGAGAGAGACATTCGAACTTTGTAGAGACGGGCGAGTCGGGCATAAAATTGGTTGTGCTTATCCCATTCTGGTGAATTTAGTCTGGCAATCATTTTGAATATGTTGAAAATACACGGCTTAGTTTGATTACATATGAAAATTCATGAATTTATTGATATGACCTCAAAAAATCGAGGTTTCAAAAGTAAAACAGCTACCAAAGCAAACCGGAGATAACATTACCAAAGAATATATGCCAAATTTCAGAATGTAGACCAAAATATGTCTTACTCGCACATGTAGCACACATCGAGGGCTCTTACCTTCTTTGGAAACTCTTGGTCTGTATTTTGGATGTCGCCTCAGCACAGAGCCTTCCAAGAGAAACTTGATGGCTCCACTGAACGAATGGTGTGCTCACATAATTTTACAATGCTGTCGAGTCCACTTCAGCTCAATTCATATTTACAAAGCCACCCTTTGATGGAAATGTGAGTGTTTATATAAGGATTGTATGAGCCCACTAACATGGCCCTAAAGCCATAGCCTTACTTGATCTTATTCCACCAGTCAGTCAAGCAAGCAAGCACTAATGAAATCCACAATGGCACTTCCTCGAAAAAGAGAGTCAAAAAACTGATCTGAAGAAATCACTACTCTTATTCATATTCATCAATCACAAAATTCTACGATTTGCAACCGTGAAATATTACCTGAGCTATTCACAGCTCATGATGCCAAGATAAGCTAAGCATGCCTAAATTTGAGGCGGGAAAAATCTTAGAGTCAATTTCTGAGTGCCGGGATCAGACAGTAAACCACTTCTGTATGTGTTATCTTTCACAAAGATTAAAGCTTGTGGAAGGTGGCATGCGAAAGTATATCTTCAAAGTCAATGAAATTGAAATAAAAAGAGAAAAATAAACACTTCATGCTGCAATTTCACACATTGAATAAAATAAATTCTCGTACCAAAATGATTTACGAAGTTTGCTTTCAAGAATTAAAATGAAAACAAAGGGTCCGTTTCGCGCGGTATCCAAAACTCAAACTTCTTGACAAAACTTCCGCGTCAAAAGTTTTGTCAACGGGTGATATTTTGTGTTTATAGTGTCGCCAGAAAGCACAAAATCTAAACTTATCAAGTAATTTTTTGTAAAATATGTTTTTTTTTCCCTTATTATTTTTATTACGGATAAGTTGTTGTCAATGAAGCGCATATATCATATATTCCTGCGATGTTGCATACATTCTCTCATGTCGTTTCGTTCAAAATACTAGCGAAGAATGCCACCTTCCACAAGCTTTAATTTTGGTGAAAAATTCATGTCTGATTTCAGTATGGAAACTTGGAATGGAATATCCACTTGCACGCTCAAAAGCTACAAACATATTACTGTACGAGCGTATTGCATCAGAGAAACGCGAAACCGACCCTGCTGAGGATTTTATTAAAAGTGCTTACCAAAAACAAAAAATCATAGAAAAAGCTAAAGGATTTAGAATTTTTCTGACTACATTATTAATTTCATACTTATGTAGAAGACACCTTAGGAAAGTTTCAGAATTTCGCGCATTTTGTTTCGGGCAGACCAAGTCGCGATCTGTGAAAATAACCTCTATCATCAAATCTCCCTTTTGTATGTAGTAAGATAGCATGAGGTTTTCTCATTTAGTTGGACTTAATAAATGAAGTATACATCATCAAAATATTAGTTTGTGTTCTCGAAACCAATCTTTCGATACCAACATTCTACGCTTAATTCGAGACATCGCACCGCGCGGGACTCTCTAAAGCAGTTTTCTCTCTGGCCAAACTGACTCTTGGAATAACAAGCGCAAAATTACTAACAAGAGACACAAAATCGAGACGACACGCTTTTGAGAAATAAAACTTATGCTTTTGATGGTGCTCGTCGTTGGTGAATTGAGCATTTCATTTTGGGATGTGAGGGTCTCAAGCCAAGACTTTTCAAAATACGCAGGACTGAATGGATATCACTACACAGGGAATATTTGATGAGGAACAACAAACACCAGATTCGGTCTACTTCAACTGAATTTGTTTCCGACTCTAACCGCTCAGAATAGGGTGTTTCGGAGCATTAGATGAAACGATGCTGGAGACTTCTGGCGAATTTTAGGTCGGGAAGCCAAGGAACATAATTCCAGCTCCTCCTGGAAGCTTTGTTGATAATAGTAAAAAAACAAGACATTCAATGACATATAGACTATTACATAGCAAGAGGCTATACTGGCCAGCGTACCGTTTTCCAATATTTAGCGCAAGCATCCTTGTTTAAATGAATCGAAATATTTGCACCCAGCTGGTTGTATTCCATCATTCCACACACATGCATAACCTCCCGCAAATTTACCCGAAACACTACATCGCTAAACTTCTTGGCAATTTAAGTACTCGCTGCCTTGGCACAACATTATTGCCGTTTTTTCTGGTGTTGCACCGCCACAATCAAAAGCGCCATGCAGCTAAGGCTGTTCTAGAATCCAGCTGCGAAATGCCTTCGAATGCATAGCGCCTACAATAGTAATGAGTATACATCAGCCTTGGAACAGTGTCTGCCTTGATATTAAATATCGATTGGATGTACATTGAAGTACTTCAAGAATTGTATCAACCAAGATGAGTGAGGTGTTGCCACCTCAAAGCCCAGTTAAAAACTAAGTTTTGGCGCACACCTCATCAAACATACCCGGCATGCTTTGATTAGTCCTTCATACGGTGCATCTCAAGTAGTGGCAGGGGGTCACGTGCATACGGATTTAAAGTATTGTAAAATCGTGAAAACGTTTACACCGATCTGAACTTGGTACATGGGCTTGTTTTCCGGCTTTTTTAGTGGGGGCAAATGGCCAGAGTAATCAAAGCATGCACTGTGTGCAAGCTGAAGAAACTCAAGTGTGACGGGGAAAGACCCTGTTGTTCCCGATGCCAGAAATTGGGGCGCCAACATTGTGAGTATCTTCCGGATAAAAGAACAGATAAAAGACAGCGGATGGGGGACAAGCATGTTTTTGTTTTCAAAAATGGCATGGATACGCAGATAGATCCAAAACAGCATCTGTGCCGCCCTGGTTGGGCCAATGCAGAGGGCCTTCTCGTGGTTCTGGACAAGTCTTTTCTGTCTTCATCGAGAGCTCGAGATTTCCAGCCGAGTATTTATTTTCCCATCAATTTTCCTGATGTTGGCCAGCCATGGCCAGGTTATACCCCGAGCTCTTTTCTGGCAGATATGCACTTCAACATGGACCAGTTTTTCTTTTCTTTGGACAAAGCTTTGCCTATAGAATCGCAATTGGACACTACAAAGACCGCCAGTATTCCCCGCCATAAGATCCTCATTGACGCTGTATTTGGCAACAAAACCCACATCTCCCCTGCAATCACGCACGACTTGATCAAGAAAATCGATAACCTGTCCAGCCGGACTGATGGAGAGGAGTTTTTGCATGCTACAATATTGACCATGGGAGCGCTAACTTTGGCCAGGCGTGAAATGGCCGGAACCAGAAAAGATTTATTTGCTAGTCTTTCGTCAGAAGCAGAGATTGCTGCGTTGGACTTGGGGCCTACAAAGATGGCCACAGAAGCATTTGACCACTATCTGAGGGCCAAAGCGTTGATTCCGCTCATGCTCGAGTATCCGTCCATAAACGGATTTCAGGGCCTCGCTGTGATGGCCAATTTTATGAGCGTTCTCCTCACCCCGAAAACGCAATTGGTCATCACGTATCATGCTCTCCAGATTGCTGTTGCCATAGGCTTAACTCTGATGCCACTGGTTGATACAGGCTCCCAGGAGCACGAATTGGTGGTGGCGTTCTGGGGATTGTGGTGCTCAAGCTCTTTGCTTTCGACGTTCCACGGACAGCCGCCACCTTTAGCCAGAAATCAGATTTTGACCCCTGCCAACGTCAAAATGCTGAATATATATGTGGAAAAGTTTTCATGGATCCGCATCAAATTTGCCGAGCTTGCGGGGCTGGTCAGCGAGGCAATTCATGGCCATGAAGAAAACGACTGCTATGCGTTTTTGCACGAAAGGCTCCTTGCTTTGAGCTATGAGGTTGGCAAGTTCAAGCAAATTTATACTGCGGATACCACAATTTTTAAGACGCACGAGCTTCTCGTTCTTGGGCTCAAATGTTGGAAAGCGTACGTGGCGATGCTTTTGAATTTGCCTGCGTTGTTGGAAATGCGCAGTGATTTAGCGGTGGCCGAGGCCAAGACCGTTATAAAGGATATTTGGCAATACTACTACTCATACAAGCAAAACGGCCGGCCACACTTGCCGCACTTGCCCAACTTGGACTGGAACTTTTGTTACCCCCTTCGGCATGCCACACTTTGCGTGTGGATTGCGTGTATGATTCTTACAAAGTCCCTCACAATGCTGTCTTCTCTCTCGTTTGACCATGTGGAGCTAAGCCTAGGTATCGAATTGTTGACAGATCTCACTAGCATCATTCCCATTAATACGTACTTGCTTCAGGAATTGGAAGCAATGAGGTTGAACGAAACCCGTTGTACCGGCTGGCTATTTAAATGATACCGGTGTTTTTTTGGCTGCCGTAAGCTGGACTGGTGCTTCTTGATTTTGGATAAATGGATTGAGGAAAAACGGGTCCGAACAACCGTGCAAGGGACTTACTCCTGGGCATATGTGGGTATGAAGCAACCGGGAATGAAACTTTTTATGGGGATGAAACTTTATAAATGGCAGGAAACAATAGTAACGTCGAACTATTGGTATGGGATTTGGAATAGAATAATAGAGACAAAGTAAATTACGACAGTTTTGTCAAGTTGTATGTCCCGAACCCACCAATGGAGGGTCTGTCTTTCGGGAGTCAGAAATATGCAAAATTACCTACTGTTTCAGGGTACGTCTTTTTCGCCTATGAGTTGCAAGTCGAGAACAAATTAGGACAGTGGTCGATAAGTCGAAAATAAATAAACGATTGACAAAGAGACCCGACTTTCTAGGGGGATAAGTGAATGGGCCTCGGAGTGAATGAAGCACCGACACTCAGGCGAACTCAGGCTCAAACAGTTTAACCGAAGCACAGTGGATTCAGAGTAGTTCTAACCAATTCCATCCGATTTAATTTGTCAGATTTGTTAGACGCTTTGATTAAAGGTTTAGATGAGAATAAAAAATGAGAACAGCTCAATTGAAAATTCCCGGTGCCGGGCAGTGTAAAATTTTGTGAATAGGAGACCGAAGGGTGTCTGAATAGGCAGGCTTCCGTTCTGCAGACTGGGACAAATTTGACGGCATATACTTTTATATACAAGAGTCAAGAACGCATATACAGAACGGGTAGGAACGTCATTAAAAACGGTTCATAATAAAACGAAGCTGGGGTTCATTCAAGCGAATTTTTTTTTTTTTTTGGACCAAACCTGAAACCCGTGTTTAAAGCCAACGTTTCATGAGGGCTAATTTCAGCACAGTATATATTAATAGAATGGGATGAATGTAATACAGCAGACTGGATCCAAACTGAACTTGACCCGTTTTCAGGTACTCAAATAAGAGCGAAATCCCGTTCTGTTTGTGATCTGGGGCTTAAATATATGAACACATCCAGAATGGCCTTCAGCATCTGCTCGTGAATATGGGTGGTTTGTAATGGAACATGATAGTTTTGCCGCAACACTATTCGTGCGAACCTAATTAGGTTGACCAGGCGAGACATGGGACCAAGTTTGAGAAATACCACGAGAAAAACTGGAGCTGGAATTGGTTTACTTGATACGATCCAGACGGACAGTACAGTGACATACTCGTGAGGTTGCTCGGGGTGCCACCACCAATCAAGATGCCTCCAGTCCGAATTAACATATAGCCAAAAAGTATACAGCCAAAAAGTATAGGGCCAAAAAGTATACAGTCAAGGAATACACAGTCAAAAAGTATACAGCCAAGGAATACACAGTCAAAGAACATACAGCGAAAAAATACAGCTAAAAAATACAGCCGAAAAATCACCAAATGGATCATCTGCATCCCGCTAAATCCCATCAACGGCCACGAGTTTGTCATCATCGTATAACAGTCGTAAGAGGCACTGGACTCAAGTGTGAAAAATTATTCCGGAGAGGCTTGACAGAACCGGAACATCAACCTACACCAAATTGGAGATTCGCCCAGCTATCAGCCCATATTTCAAAAGCAAAGGCAGAACGCAACATTCGTGGATTCCTTCTCAATACAAAGGAATACCCTAATACTAGTGGTCTGACATCCGCCTGCAGAAGACCGCACTCTACGGGCCGCGGCCTCAGTGACACCCATACATCTGGAAGAAACTTGGACCGGTCCCCGTATTTCCCAGTGGAAAACACTTCCACCAGATAATCCTTTAGAAATCGTAGGTGCCAGGGCCAACGAAGCTGTAGCTGCCACTCCCAACCTGTCTTTCTCAAATTCGACTCTGCCCGTCAATGGCCATGTTCCTATGTTTTTTTTTTTTGCAATCGCAGCTGGGGCCTGTGCGCACCGAAAAATTCCGTGCACCCATGAACTTCTCCACCAAATCTACCAGGACTCTCGAGCACCACGAAAAACATGCTAGGACTTAAAGCAGCAAAGCAGTTTCCGCTCACCCGGCTCACGTGCCTCCCGCTTGCAAGCCGGATGGCTGTCCCCCGCAATTTGCGGCTGTTTTCTCAGCTAGCCTCGGGCTCGTACGCCAGGCCTGCGGCCCATAACCTTGGACTTTTTAAACGGCTCAACACCCCCAGAAACCACCTTGAAACCCGTCTGTACTCCAGCAAATCGGGGGCGCAGGGCACAGACAAAAACGCCCGTGGCCAGGCGCTCTTGCACAAGATCACCGGGTTCACCACGTTCTCGGCATCGTTGCTTTTGGTGGTGGCCGGCACCGGGTTCTGCGGGCTCGTTTTATACTTGATTCTCTCCGAGTTGTTTTTGCCTTCAGGCGACACTAAGACCTTCAACAAGGCCGTGAGCTTGGTCGAGAAAAACGCGCTTGCCCAGCAGGCTCTTGGCTTCAAAGCAGGCGACCGCTTGAAGGCATATGGCGAGGTTCCAGGCGACCAGTGGGTTCGCAACAGGCCCGTGCAAAGCGTGAGGCTGAAGGGCCAGGACGGCAAGGACCACTTGGCCATGAGATTCCACGTGGAGTCGGATGCAGGCAAGCACGGCAGCGTCTTTTTGGAGCAGGTCGACACGTCGTACTGGTCCAGTGAGTTTGCGTACATTGCGTTGGAGTTGCCGTCCAAACAGCGCATCTACATCATCGAGCCCAAGTTCGCGTCCAAGAACTATGTGCCGCGGACGGGGCTTTCGTCGGGGGCGGGCTTTTTGGGTCTCAGCTGGGGACCAAAGAAGGCCGACCAGGAAGACAAGAAGGAGGGTTGATTCGGTAGGGCTCGAAAAGACATATGAGGAGACCAGGAAAGGGAAGGGGACCGGAGGAAAGTTGACGAAGACAGAAGACACTGAAAGGCCGAGGAAAGACCGTCTTCTCCCTGTATATTCACTATAGCACCAGATGGCCAAGCACATACACGATATCATGAACACGCACAGAGTAAGAGAAAGGTCTGAAGAGACCTGCCCAGGGAGGTTTTAGCCTAATGAGGTTGTGAAAGGGATTGGAAGAAAGACCGAAGGACCGGAAGAAAGACAGGAGAATGACCAGGTAGGGAAAAAAAAAACTTTGACTACGAAAGAAGATCCAGGGAGAAGAAGCCGTAAAAAAGCCGAGGGGAGACGCTCCAGATTTCGAAGTGATCCTCAAAGACCCGAATATAGGAGACTACTGGGGCAAGTCCCCATTACGTGGGCTTGAGAGTGAAGTGAGCCGTGAAGCAAGGAGAGACAGTTTAGAGGAAATGACAAGAAAAGAGGAAGATACTCTCGAAGGACCTGGAAGATACACCCAAAGGAGCTGCAGAAATAAATATTTGAAGGATCTGAAGAAGTATATGTCTGAGGAATGACTATGGGGCTGGGGGGAGATCAAGAAGTAATAGTCAATTGAGAAGGAGTCATTCACAGAAATTAGGACGACTTACCCAAAAGAAAAGAACCGAGGAACAACCTCAAGCCGAAAGTCCTGAAGAGCAATACCGAGAATAAACCTGGATATGAACACCAAGAAAAGAAAGAACTGAGATACTTGTGCTTGTGCATCAACACTGAAAAAGCAAATATTATAGAACAGAAGAAATAACGACTGCCCGAACCTAGTCTCCACAGCTTCAGGTGGCCAAGTACATGAACGAAACTACAAACACCGACACCACCACAAAGCCCCAGTTGGCCGGCTTCTGCGCCGCACTATGGAATGACTCGGTGCTCTTGAGCCCGCCCTCCTGCTCAGAAAGCAGTACGTCGCCATCGTTGGAAGCAGCGTCGCCTTGGGCATGACCCAAGATTTCCTCGCAGGTTCGCCCGTCGGCCGTATGCGTCTTGGTGAACGCCAACGTGCCGAACGTGGTGGTCAAGGCCGCCCGCTTGCCAAAGTCACAGTGCTCCGGTCTCCGGTGCTTGTCGACATAGTACCTGTCCAAGGCGTAGGAGGCCCGCTGCGCCATGCTGCAACCGGAGTACTTGCCGTAGATTCCACGCGAGCCGTCTGCGGCGATCTCCAGACAATCGGTCTTGGAGCACACCTCCGCCAAAAGCTCGGGGAGATCCACTCGGATGTAGGGCGTGACCACACAGGTCAAGGCCGCCTGGAGGCACTCGCACAAGCCCGGGTCCGGGGCCGGTGGAAGAACACTCAGTGCATTCCATGAGTCCGAGATCTCGGGACACGGGCGGGCGGCCGGCGGCAGCGGAGGCGCCTCGTCACGGTGCACGCCGCGAGGCATGCTTTCGAGCAAACGCAACTTGACGATGTTGAAGTCCTCGAGCTTGAACACGTGGCCCGCAGCGTTCTCGTCCACGAGCCCATAGCGGTTCTCGTTCTGGAAGAACTCGTAGGCCACGGCGCCGGACCACACGCGGGTCATCACGGGCCCGTAGATCTGGTCGATTTCGGTGAACGGACGCGGGCGCACGGCGTTGCAGCCGTACTCGCTGAAGAAAACGGGGACCGGCAGGTTGCTGAACTCGGCTGTACGCTCCTTGTAGCCGGAAGTGGCGTAGGACGAATAGCCGCACCACTCGAACATGTTCAACGCGTAAAAGTCCACCACGGCGGCATCCAGGCTGGTGTCCGTGCACACAAAGTAGCTGGCGCTGTCGATGCGTGTGATTGTGTCGTCTGCACTGGCATACCCGACGGGAATGCGGCGGTAGTTCTTGTTGCGGATATGGGCCTTGATGTCCCGCACGGAGCCCTTGGCAAATGCAGCGGCGGCGGAGTTCTCCACCTTGTTCAAGACCTCGTTGCCGGCAATGAACCCCAAGAGGTTGGTGTACGAGTGCATGCTGTCGACCACGTCCGTGTATCGCCGAAGGAGCTCGACGTCCCAAGAAGGCAGGCGCTGGTTGATGGAGAGCTGCGGCTCCGAGAGATCCACCAAGACGTAGATGCCGTGGCTTGCAAACGCGTTCATACAGACGTCGTGGTTTAACCGCGGGTCCACCTGGTACACACGCACGGTGTTGACGCCCAACTCCTTCAAAAACTCCAAGTCCTTCAAGCACAAGCCCGGCGAGGCCAACGAGTCCACGTACGCAGTCTCTGTTTCCGCGTCGTAGATCTCGCCCAGCTTGCGTGTTCTCTGGTACGCCACGCCGCGGATGAAAAACTGCAGCCCGCTGGACGAGTTGAAGAACTTGTTGCCTATGATTTCGATTTCGTGTGCGGGCTCGAGCCGGAACGCGGCGTGCGCGGCGGTGACGAGCGCCAAAAAGGCACATATACTTCCTACTGATCTCATTTTCCGCCACGTGGATTGCTGGTCTGAATGGGAGGCAAGACGTAGTGCAGGGCGTGGGTGCAAAAAGAGCGTGCTAGTTGTGGGTGCAAAATCTGGTGCTGGGATGGGTGCAAAACATACGCCGCGCGAGGTCGTGCGGAGCCGAAAACTGGCGAAGGCTGGCTGGTGTTCATGGAGACATGGTGGGGGAGACCAGGAAAAGTAGTGATATGGGGACGGTGATGTCTTGGGAATTTGAGGTGGATTTGGGATACCAAAGATTGGGGGGTGGAAGGTTTGGGAAGTTGGAATTTTGGGTCCTTGCAATTTCGGGATGTTGAGACATTGCGACATGGTGTGAGCATGGTGAGGACGGCGAGGACAGTAAGGACAGTGGCACTAAGGCTAGGAAGGGAATTCCTGATGATGAAATCAAGGCCTTTGAAGTATATGTGAATACAGTAGTAATGGCCATACAAACAATCGAGGACAAGTTTAAAATGATAGTGGAGAGATCGGGAATATTCAGATTATTGGTTTGCGAGCAAGTACCAGATCAACTAGATTGGCCAGAAGATTATCTTCAGTATCAAATTGGCTACGATACTTTTGTCTCCAAGAAGACCAGTGGAGGTTTTTACGACAAGAAACTATTGCATGCTTTCAATTTTTACTCCGACACCTTTCAAAACTCCCAATGATGACCACTACAGATGCCCTCGTATTAAGCGAGGGTCTACCGAAATAACTTGTCTAACAATGCGCCGCTTTCACTTTTCCGCAGTGAATTACATCACAAACACATCTAGGAATCTCCTATGAGTCTGCAGTAGTCTCAAAATAATTCTTAGTGAGATGTCTAATATCACCCTCAAATTGACAGGCGGGGTATACCTTCAAGCCCATCAGACTTTATTTAAGAGACTGAATCATTTTGGTGTTTTGCTAACAGTGGTTGTAATATAGCAATCTAAGCTCAAGACAAGATAATAGAAAAACCCAAAGAACAGGTTTCGAGGCTAATACTACGCTAGTCCTCTTCGAAATCCCAATCCTACCTCAATTGATCTTTCTATGTCCCCAGTTCTTTTACACTTTAGGCATCTTTAATGGGAATCTCAAGAAATGGCCGTTTAGTGAGACAAGTAAGTAGTAGTTCATTTTCATCAGTGTCTCGAGGATTTTGATTTGATTTCTTTGGGGAATCGGTATGCACGGTCTCAAAAACTTCGAACAGCTCCTTTTTCGTTCGATTTTCGTAACAATGGCTGAGCATTCTATTCTAAAAATTGACTATATTATAGCTTTCAGGAATCCACTTGAGATCAACTTCAAGGCGGGACGAGTCCACCTCCCGGAAAAATTTTTCTGTATCAAATACATGATAGTTAAACTCAACGGCAGAAAAATTGCTTCAAACCAGATTGACGAAGCATATTACACGTATACGCTATACTTAAAACTTCTCGTTTTCGCATATACGTTGATCGGAAGAAGCTTGGCCGGTAACATGAATGAGGAAAAGAAATGACAGCCCATATTTTTGAAAAGCCTTCTTCAGCTTATTAGTGCATGAAGTTGACTCATGGCTAGGTAATTTCTGACTGATCATACGAAATCACAGATCGATAATGCAAAAAGTGACACGTCTTTTTTCTCGGGCGGTATCACCTTTTCAGCGATAAACGTAACTACTAAAGCCCCTTGCATACCTGGGAGAGCATTCCAAGAATACATATGTGCATGTGGGATTTCTTTTATTATCGGGTGGGAACTTCATTACTGAAAGGAGAGGCAAAGAAATTCCCTGGTTATCATGTTGATACTGAGCTGAAATCATCAACAAAAGACCAACTGCTTATACCAACAAACTGCTTCAACTCAAACAGCCTGGAATCTTGAATCAAGACTCGAAAACATCTTGGTTTTACCGAAGACCAACGTCACAGCTTCTGTTGTCGGGACATGAAACAAGATGACCGATTCAATCAGTGTAAACCGAGATTGACCACCAAGAGCCTTCTAAGTTTTGGCGTGTAAGAATATCCGATATTACTGTGCGGCCGTGTATTAATTAAGCACCCTGTAAAAAACTAAGGTTGTACATCTGATACGCCCGAGCCCCCTATTCAGAATAAGCTGATAAGCCGCTTTAGTTCCTTCTTGCCTCTGCACTCAAGCATGTAGATTTCGCCCTCAGAAGCCTTGACGAGCGTGGCAGCCTTCCCGATGGTCTCAACATACTCATGGATCTTGTCGTCTTGAAACGTCCACAGATACTCGTCCACTTTCTCTTCACCCGCCTCTTCTTTGATATGCATATCGAAGTGGTAGAACCCCATTTGCGAAGCGTCAACCGAATGCAGAATGCTCAATGAATACATTGCAAGCGCCTTCCACGAAGAAACGCGGTGAATCTGCTCATACAGCTCCATCTGCCTGTGCAATTTGATGGTGATGCGGTCGAGCAACAATTTTGTACCCGAGGCATATATGCCCTCTGAGTTTTCTTCGGGCGTGTTGCCACCAGAAGCAGCCGGTGTTTGGATCTGATCGAATATGCTGTGAAGGGTCGACGAAGTGCTGGGCTTACTTGCAAGCGAGGAAGAAAGAGTGCCCATAGACTCGAACTTCGAGGACTGCGTGAGCGATTTCTTGCTGTTCATGACCTCTAGGATGTTGCTGAAATTGGTCGAGATAGCCTGCACCAAATTACAGGTAAAGCAGCGCACAATGATGTGAGTTTTCTGCTTGCTGAAGGCGTCAGTCGCATGGATCTCGATGTCGAGTGCCGTGGACAGCCGGGCACTGGTGTTCTCGTCAAGGTCTAGCACCAAAAGCGGCTTGTCAATGACCTCGCCGTACTCCTCATCGTACTCCTCTTTGAACACCAATAGCCAGCTCTTGTAGATGTTGTAGTTGGCCACGATCTTCAAGAACACGTTCTCGTTGGAGGTCAACATCTCCCACTTGCCGTGGCGCGGCTTCCACTTCGACACCTTGATCGAGTTGGGGGAGACTGGCGTGATGTAGAAATCAAGCGAGTCGGCGGCGTTGACGATGTCCTTGAAGTCTTGCGGGATCTCGTAGGGCTTTTCGTCAATGACCCCGGGCAAGCTGGTGGTCGACCCGTTGGCGCCCGCCGCCGCATTCAAGTGTGGCTTGAAAAAATACGTGGATGTCGACGAGGGCAAGGCGAACGGCAGGGGCAAGGTGCGGTTGGACGCGGACGTGGCGCTCCCCGGCTGGCTCGAGGCGGCTCCCGGGTCGCTGATTTTGGGGATCTGGATCTGGAGGTCCGCGGGGCGCTTCATCGGGGCAGGCGCGGGCTTTTTCGCCAAGCCCATGTCGTTGGCAGAAGCAGACGCGTCGCTGGAAGCCGCAGTGTGTGGGGCCGCGGGCATGGATACTGGTGGCTCCGCCGCAACTGCTGCAGTGTTCAAAGAGGGTCCCTCCGAGGCCTCGGAGGGGCTGCTTGACGCCGCCTTCTCCTTCCGCCTCTTCCGAAACAAGTCGAGGAAAGACTTCCGCTGGGCTTTCTTCTCGGCCGCAGGCAAGCTGGCAAACGAGGGGTTGTGCGACTTGCCGAAGTTGTCGACATCGATGGCAGAGCCTGCTGCGTTGATGTATATGGACGGCGCAGTCGCCGCCGAAACGTCGGGCATGGACGCCGCGGCATGCTTGAGCATGTTGAGGCCGTGATTCTGCAATTCCAGGCCGTGATTCTGCGGCACAGAGGTCACCACGTCGAAGCAGTCGACGCTGTCGTCGTCCGCCGAGCCCTGCGCGTCCGCGTCCTCCGGATACGCGTACTCGGCCTCGATGGAATAGTGCGGCTTCGGGTCCTGGACCACCGTGAGCTGGCGCTCCTTGAGCTCGGGCTCCATGCCGCTGCTGGAGAGCGTTTTCTTCATGATTTCCATCGAGTGGCCCGAGTCGAGCGAGCGCCGGGCGCCTGGCAGCAACCCCTCCGACTCGGGCGTCGAGCAGGGCAGCAGCCGCGAGCCGTCGTCGCTCGGGACCAGCACGGTGTGGATGCCGAGGCCGAGCAGCTGCACGGCGCTGCTGTGGAGGAGTTTGTCGGAGGTGGGGAAGATGGCACGGAGGTCGCGGAACCACAGGTCGAGGAGGGCCGGCGGGCCGGAGATGGCGAACCTGTGGTTGCTCGGAGCCAAGTCGAGCGAGAGCGAGGAGAAGCGGAGCGAGTCGCCCGCCAGCGCCACGGCCAACTCGTTGACCCGGAACGGCGGGTACACGACGGAGCGCCGGGCCGCCGGCGCCGGCACGTTCAACACGGCCCAGGCGTCGAAGCGCGGCTGCGTTTGCAGGCCCAACTTCAACAACAACATCTCCACGCGCCACTCGCCCAAGAAGAGCGGCGCGTCCTCCGAGCGGCGCACGATCTGGGCGGGCGTGAAGAAGCACGACACGCTGCGGCCGGCGAACGTCTGCACGTGGTCGAAGCTGATGTCGCTGAGCCGGGCCTGGCGGACCATGTCGCCGGTGCGGGCAATGACGGCCGACGCCCGCGCCTGGACCTGCGCCAACTTGTCGAGGATGAACGGGTTGCGCAACACGCGCGCCATGGACCGCGCAAAGTCCACGTAGCTCTGGCTGTGGAGCACCGGCTGCTGGTAGAGCGTGCCCTGGGTTATATGTTTGGCGGAGAGGCACTGGAGGAGCTTCTCGAACACGACGAAGTTGCCGTCGAACCACACGAGGAAGTCGTTGACCACCAGCTTGACGTGGTCCGCGTCCGGCGCGTCTGCCGGCGGGGCGGCGCCGGTCATCTGGAGGAGTTTCTGGTTGCTGGTGCACAAGCCGCGCACCAACGACGGGATCTGGCTCTCGGGGCCCGCGATTTTCAGGCCTTTGACGACGCCGAGCAAGGCAATGAGGTTTTCCAGCTGCAGCGCCTCGCTGCGGTGGAGGGCCTGGATGATGTCGGCCATTTGGCAACTGGGGAGAAAGACGACAGTGGTCAATAAACGGCAGTGGTCAATAAAGACGACAGTGGCCAATAAACGGCAGCGGTCAATAAAGACGACAGTGGCCAATAAACGGCAGTGGCCAATAAACGGCAGTGGCCGAGTAAAGACGGCAGTGGCCAATAAACGGCACGTAGGCCCAGTAAAGACGGCAGTGGCCAATAAACGGCAGTGGCCGAGTAAAGACGGCAGTGGCCAATAAACGGCAGCGGTCAATAAAGACGACAGTGGTCAATAAACGGCAGTGGCCTATAAAGACGGCAGACTAGTGGCCAGAAAAGACGGCAGACGCGTGGCCAAGAAAGACGGCCTAGATGGCAGCAGGCTCTGGCTCAGAGACGTGTTTGTGCACCACACTCGGTGTTTTCCCCGGATCGGTGGCGGGCGGTCGGCCAGAAAACGGGCTCTTTGGGGCCACTCGGAGACGGCGGGCGCAAGCAACAAGCAGAGGCGGCGCTTCGGGCTCAAGGGCGTCTGGACAATCTCGGGCACGTGGGGTGGGAAAGGCAAACACACGGAACCAGAAAAGCAGACGGGCAAAAAGATCAACGGAGAAAGAACGCGTCGTCCGGGCGGCCTTTAATATCTTATTTTGCGGTGCGGTTTGTCCTGGCCCCACGACAAGCGCAGCGCAGGCCCTGCCCTAGTTGCAGGACTGGGCGTGGGCCCGCGAAAGACGTTTTCACGCGACGCGACGCTGCCAGGAGACGCGCTTTAGGGCCGGCCGTCTCTGGCTCGTGGGGCCAGAAAAAACTGGGGGCACGCCGTTCGGGCCCCGGGAACGGAAAAAAAGAAACGAAAAAACGTGTGGTGCTATTCCGGACACGCGGGGCCCCGTGGTGCCGGTTTTCGCTTTTTTTTTCGCCGGACCGGCGGCGAACACGGGCCCTTTGCGACGGGCCAGTAGAGGCCCTGAGCCCGGCCGTGGCTCTGGCGGTGGCTCTGGCGGTGGCTCTGGCCGTGGCCCCATGCAGTTTGGCGCGCGGGGCTTGCTTGTTTGGGCAAGCAATTAGAGTAGACACGCACCACGGACGCTAGTGGGTGGCTTGCGATGCCGAGTTACGAGTCTCCAAGCCCGACGGAATTGGCGCTTTGGGTGTGCTTCGTGTTGGGCTGGTTCCGTAACAGACTGGTGTTCAAAAGCTTGCCGTCTGTGGTGGGAACCTCTGCCGGACCGATGCACAGGTTTTTTTTCCCACGCCTGCCTGGCGGATCGTGGATCTGCTGATGTCGTCTCCACGGTTTTGGGCGTTTTTGGTCTGCGCCAGGAAATCGGGCTAATCTTTCTCTGGCACAATTATCTGACAATTGCCTGACAATTATGTGCCGCTTATCTGCCGGCGTCTCCTCGTCTTTGCTTGGCTGGCGCCGCGAGTCACAGTCCTGCTTGTTAGACGGGAGAGACGCGTCTGAAAGCCGCAATTGTCCATGTCTATTTAGCTCTTGGCGGGCAACGCGTCGGTTTATTTGAAAGTGCTTCTTTTCGGCCGACAGACATTGGTGCTCCCGAGCCTAGCTCCAAATGTGCTTCTTTTCCGGGAGGAAGCTTTCTGATGACCTGGTCCTGTAGACTGCATGGGTGGGGCCGATTTGTTCGATTGCAGAACCTCTGTGTAGACCTTGCATCCGAGGCCCAATGCCGAGTATTGATGTGTTTTTCCGAAGAACAGCCATGCCAGACAGTGGCATCAGTTTCTGGAACCATCAGCATCCATCAAAAAAAAAAAATAATACAGAGGTCCACGATAAATCAAGACAGAGGTCTATCAATACAGAGGTCCCCGATAAATCAACACAGAGGTCCACGATAGACTAATACAGAGGTCTAAATCAATACAGAGGTCCACGATAAATTAATACAGAGATCCATGATAAACCAATAAGGAGGTCTAAATTAATACAGAGGTCCACGATAAACTAATACAGAGGTCCCCGATAAATCAATACAGAGGTCTAAATC